ATTTCCACTATCAAATTTTGCGGAACTCTCGCCGAATATTTGACGTATCTCACCGACTGCAGATTATTTAGGTACTCTACTTACCCGCTCCCTTCGTTGTAACCATCAAACGGTTCATTCCGTTACAGCAAATAACGCGGTAAATGATCATTTTCTTTGGCGGCGATTTCTTTGTTCGTATATTTGTTGATGCATTAATAGCGCGGCACTGTAACTCTCTCCAAAACATAATCTTGTTTTCTGGGCAATGGTCTCGTGACTGTGAAGTCACTTTACTCTATTTATTTTCTACTGTATCCTGACCTTTGGTATTTCCTAATTTAGTAAGTTGATTTATCGTCTCTGATTATCATTTGGTCTTAAGCATCAATTTTGCTGACTGTTTACTGTACCTTACTGACAATTGTCAAAAGAAACATTTGTTAGACCAATCATTGCCATCACATACATTCCCAATTATCATTTTGTTGTCTGTCTCGTACTTCGTTGACCTGTCAGTCCACCGTATCTTATCTCTATGTCAAATTTTATCTACTTCTTGAGCTAACCGCTACTGTCATTGTCGACCTATATCGTCTAATTCCCATGTTATTGACATTGTCACCATCGCTTGATCATTGTCTAAGAGTTCTTGCTAAAATTACCACAAGTTTATAGTGACTATACTCCTGTATTGCCATTGTCATTGATATTTGTACGTTCTTGCATTCAAATTTCCTCCTTCCGTGTTTTCCTCTCAGCAAATTTTTCGAAGCTCCACAACATCAGTGATTTTTTTTAATAGCTTAGAATTTCAGTGAGATGGTGCAACTTTTGTCCGTCACCATAGCTTTTGAGGTTCCCGTCATGTTATGTTCTATCTTGACACTCTCCGCCCGTCTTGTTCTTCTTTTGTCATTGTCATCTTTGTCCTTGCCCATGTTGTCATTTCGCTTAGCTTGAGTTCACTAAATATCCATCTCTTTACTAAGTAGGGTGACATTGTTACTTTGAAACCTTATTTCCCATGAAAATGACGAAAAGTCAGGATATCCGAGCTTATTTTGACGATAACGTTCTTCATGATATTGCCTTTTTTAACCTATAGGAGAATTTACTTACCTCTTAATAATAGAAAAGGACAAATTCTGGCACAACATCCTCACCTGGTAGCTTTTTAGGGACTTAATATGACAAAGTGAGCTTTTTGTTTTTAATGTCAATATTGGATTCGCTGATTTTCCTGAACTGAACGGTGGTCCCTAAGGCGAAGTCGGTGAACCCTAAGGCTTGGCTAT